ATGTTCTTGAACTACAACTTCCAGAAATCTTGGTCAGCACAGCTAGTGGTGAAGGCTTCTGGGAGTTTTCATCCAAGAACATCTGGGGACCCAAGGTTGGGAACCACTGGTCTACAGGATAGCCTATTCTACTCACTACCATTCACACTTCTTGAAAAACAGCCCTGACAGTTTCTTTGTGTTTGGATGAGTAGTGGTTAACTGATGAAAAAAGGAGTCACCTTCTGGGATTTTCCCTTGTGTGGTGTCACTTTGTGAGTGGTAGTGGTACTGTTCAACACTTTGACCATTAGCATGTGGGAGTGTCTCAGGGTTCCTGATTTCCCATGCTATTTCACGTATACGTGAAAAACTTGAAGTCCAGAATTTTGTGTTCTGGTACTACCAGTGTGCTGATGATACCCAACTCCATTTGCTTTTTAGGATCTTCCAGGAGGGCTTCTCTCTGTCCCTTGAGCCCCAGTGTGTGGTCACCCAGCTGTCTCCTCCCTCCCCCTCCACTGCATTTCACCATAACTGCAATAAACTCTTCGCTGCGGAAAGCTACCTGACTTAAACCCTAGTCTTCAAGTTGCCATAGGACTCCTTGTGATTTTCTGCCATCTGACTGGCACAACAGTAGAGTGAACATATGAAAAAGAGAGCAGGGTTACCTAGAGGTGGAAATCTCAACTGGAGCAGCTTTTAATGGAAGCTATACCTTCTGAAATTTCCACCATTAGAGGTACATAAACCCTATTCTGTTTTTCATCTGTTCACCCTAAATAAGAATCCTCAATACTGAGTCCTCTGATTAAATATGTATGACTAATTTTTAACCAGTATGTTCAGTGGCCAGAGTTAGGAAGTTCCTACATTCAGATAAATGAGGTGTGTCCTCTTATAGTGATAGCGTAACTGTGAGCACCACTCCCAGTACTGTCATATTTCCCCCCCACCTTTCAACTGCTTTTGAATTGGATCAGCTGTACATCATTAATTTTGTACATTCAACTTCCTTATGCTCTTTTTCAAATTTTTAATAATACTCAGTGTTTCCAAATGTTGTTACAGAATAATCAACCATGACTACAGAATCTGGATCAGACTCTGATTCAAAGGAGCAGGAGCAGAAAGAAACATCTGGTCAACAAGGAACAGCTGGGTCAGCACCCCAAGAACAGCAGCAGCTGCAGCAGCAGCAGCAGCAGAGTGAAGAACACCAGAATGCATTAGAACAGTTTTCTGCTGTTGCAGCTCATAGCACTCCTGTGAAGAAGGAGCAGGTAAGTAATCTATTCTATAAATCTTAATGAAAGTTGTAAAGCAAAAGCATGGTCTTATTCAGAAGTACATACCTATCTAAATTAATCTTTTTCTTGCTGCAGTTTCTTTATAAGCTTAGAACAATGAAAAAGCAGAGATCTTTTCTAAAGGAATGGACAGAGAAAATATTTTTCTTTATATATATATACATGCATTACATATATGTATGTAATTTTGGGTTGCAAGGGCAGATTATCCTCCTTGTAAAATGTAGGAGCTGCATTTCAGGCTCAGTACCTGTCAAAGCCTAATTCCATTAGGAATTGGAAGGTGATTGAAACTAACCCAATTTCCTTTTAAGTCTGTGAGAGTTAATTTTATCATGAATAAAATTTTGCACTGATTTCAGAAGAAATTGAAATAAGACGATTTAGGCTGGACCCAGTCCAGTAAAATAAAACAGCTTAAAACATTAAAATGAGATCCACCAGCAAATCCAAGTTAAACAACAGTAGCAAACACCATTTTAATACAGATTGGTTACCACAATTCAGATGTCACAGTGGAGTGTTTGAAAGATGCCTCATAGTGAAACAGATGTATACTGACATGAATCACTGTGTGCACTGAGATACAAGAGCACCAAACAAATGTGAACAAGCTTGTTCTTGTTTTGCAACAGCACTAATGCACTAATGCTGCAGGGTCCGCGCTCCTGTCCTATCACTCCAGAGTTTGCAATCACTGAGCCACTCTTCGACCTGGCAGAGAGGCTTCTCGTCCCACCTCCTGCCAGGAGTTGCCCGCCGATTGCGATCCCCGGAGCAATAGAACAGGAACGCGGACCCTGTGGCATTAGTGCATCAGTGAGTGGACTGGCCAGACCTTCGTTATCTCCAACTGTGCGGGGGTATTCATATATGAATATGAATACCACCATCTCTGATCAAAACATATTAATTCACAGGTGCATGAAAGTACTCAATCAGCATTCTAATTGTGTGGCAAAAAGAGAAGGGAACACTGTATCTACTCAGACACTGACAACAGCAATGCAGATCCAGGTGGAAGTATCTTGAACCAAAATCGGCCTTAAACGCTCTATGTTTCCTCTATGTTAGATGTTGATTTAACGCTTTTTTTCTACATGAATTCATGCATGTAAAACTCTAAAACCAAATATTGAATGCAAGTGTTGTCTCTATGGTCATTTTGCCCTAGATAACTGCATGAACAGGATGTCAGGCTTCTTTAGGAAGATGAGATTTAATTCCCTGTGAAACTATCTTGCTGCATGAACAACTCTTGACAGTTTGGGGTCCTGCTCTGATAGTTCCTGGTGGGTTTTTTGTGTGCATGAGGGAGGCTCAGCACAAATTAATGTAAGATGCTTCTGCAACAATCTAAGCTAGAGAAATTCTCCCTAGGTTAGCTTTTGTTGTACTTAGATGCTTCTAGAAACAATTATCTGTGTGCTGCCATTTGATGTGTAAAACTCCTGTTCATAACTAAAATAACATGCTCCCCAGCAGACATGTCTCTCTGCATTTTTTTTCTCTGCACCACCCACCAGTTTTAGCAGGCTAATGCAATTGCTCTCTCCATGTGCTGGGTTAGTACACAGATTTCTATGTACTGTGCAACATGCAGCTCTTTAGGTCTGAAAGCAGATTAAAGCTTTTGGCCAGATTTGATTCATTCTCATGGAGAATTGTTACAATGAAGGAAACAGACTTGGAAGATTAATTTGTGATGAATGTCAGTGCTGCAGGCTTCCGACTTATTCTGAAGTCATTTTGAACCAAATCAGATATGTTTTTATGATGGTCAGATGAAAATAAGATTAACTTCCAAAGCTTTAGCTAAGGTATTGCTTGTGTTTCATTGTAGTCTAGTTTGCCGAAGAGCAGTGAAGAAAGGCAGGCATTATTAAAATGTTCCTACCACTGAAAAGCAACCCTTAAGGGAGACATATACTACTGGTTAGACTGTTCTAGCCTTCACTTATTCTCCTGAAAAGGCTGGATTATTTAGATACCTTGAATCTTTTAAGCTCTGATTCCTGAATAATGTTTAATAACAAGGATGTACTGCAATGATTTTTTTCTAGCATGCTGCTCTGAATTAGCAGCTATGCAGCAGAGCAACAGTTTCTTCACCAGAAAAGCTTTTCAAAACAACCAAAGTTTAGCTCCGTTGCAATGTAGCTATGTCTCACTTTTTAAAATGTAGTTTTGAGTCATTTACTAAAAAAAAGGATAACTGATTGTGCTTTGTGTTTCTGAAAGCTTGCTGTGATCAGCCCTATTTTTTTTTTAATCTGAAACTGGAACATAATCTCCCTATTTGGTCTTTGTAGGCCACTGACAAAGAACGTGAATTTGCTGCAGCAGCAGCAAAACAACTGGAATACCAGCAATTTGAAGACGACAAGCTTTCTCAAAAATCGTCCTCCAGCAAACTCTCCAGATCTCCTCTAAAGATTGTCAAAAAACCAAAAAGTATGCAGTGCAAAGTGATCCTTCTGGATGGCTCAGAATATGGCTGTGAAGTGGAGGTAAATACTGGGGAAATGAAAGGGCAGGAGGATTTTTTTTCTGTGTGTTGTACCTGGTGCTTAGTTAGATGATGATGTTTGGTTGAAGGATGATTGCAATGAATTGGGAACGCAACATAAATTGTTTTTCCCAAAAGGAAAGAGTGTCTCTAGTAATGGAAATGCATTGCTTTTAAGAGAATTTAATAGGGGGGGGGGGAGAAGAAGAAATGAAATTGAGTGTTTAAATTCCATGGATGTATATGTAATGATTTGCCTGGGAAATCAAAATAAGATAATTTATACCAGTGACAAGTAGTGACATTAGAACAGCAGGAGACATCAGCAGCGAAAAGAAGTAACAATGTAGATTTGAAAATTTAAGGCTCTTCTGTAGCTTTGTTTGAGTCTTTTTTCAGGAGTGTAGCGTGAAGTCTTCTTTTAGTTAAAAGCCTCTTACTTCATAGATTCTTGGACAAATAGTCTGCCTAGAGTTTCACACTTTTATTCACAGAGTAGGGATCTTGTTGGTAACTGTGGAGAAAGAGCAAGCAACATATTTAGCATCAAGGACAACAGTGTGTGGCAGAGATGGAAAAGCGCCAGTTCTGTGTTTGGGATTAGTAGAATGCAGACAGAAAATAAAGCTGCCAGGACAATAAAGCTTGTATATAAATCTGTATAGTGACAATGTTTGGAGCACTGTTTACAGTTCTGGCTTCTGCATTTCAGAATAGATATCAGACATGGAAAAAAGTCTACAAAAGTGGAACCAAAATGACCAGAGGGTTGAAATCTCTTAGGAGAAAATGCACAGTTTGCGACTTCTTAGTTTAGATGAAAGATGACTTGGGATAGATGCCATGAGACTTGGTTATAAATTTGCATAATACAGAGAAAGTAACCAAAGCCAAAAAAAATCTTCCCTTTTTATAATAGTAGCAGAGCTCAGAATCTGAAAGTGGGCAGTACTTCATTTGGAGATGACAAAAGAAAACATTCCTTCACAGTTCATAGTTACCTTATAGATTTGCTGCTGAACTGGGATGCAGTTATTGATTACACAGAAAGGAATCTTTTTAAAAAGTGAAGATATGCCTATAGTGTCTCTTAGACATGCTTACTGAATAAAAAAATCCAGACTTAAAGAAAGTACAGTATACCAGTTAATACCACTTTCTGTATCATATACCTACTATATCTGTCATGTGGCTTAACATTTTGCCTTGCTCAGAAGTCCAAGGATGAAAAATCAAGATGTTCAGAGTAAGAAGGAGCTGTCCAACAATGTGTCATAATGGGGAGCACCAAAGTAAGGTTCTGTTTCTGCTGAGGTTAGGCCCCACCTCCAGCTAGGCTTACTTCTGATGTCATCCACTTGTATAAGGTAAACATGACCAGGACTGGTTAGTACTTGGATGGGAGACCACCAGGGAATACCAGGAATCTCCAGGTAGGGTAGGCAAGAAATCAGCCCGTAATCAGGAGAGCTGCTACGAATCAGAATTGAGTGGCCTAGATGGATCCGAGGTCTAAGTTACTATAAAGCCACTTCCTCTGTTCCTAACTGGGAAGCTTTACTGGTGGCTCTGATGCTCTGTGCATTCCTAATCTGTGATTAGGTCTGATGAATCTGCTTGCCTTCTAATGAATAGAGTTTAGGGGTTGTTAACCTCAGAGTGCCAGATGAGCGCTAGACCTCTGATTTTGGGCTTTGGAGGTGGGGTTTAATGCTTTACCTTTGGTAACGTGGTTAGAAATTTCCACTCAGTAATTCAGACAGAGGTAGCCCATCACTCTGCATAAGCTGCCCCCACATCACCTCTTTTTGGAATCCATTTCCCTTTTGGCTGGTGGTGGGAAGCATTAAACTGCACACCCAAAGCCTGACTGTAACGATACCTGGCAAACTTCTACCCTGTTTCCTCAAAAATACAGTGGGGTCTCTATTAAGAACGTCCCTACATAAGAACAATCCAACTTAAGAACAGCTCCATTTGCTAAATTTTGCTTCTACTTGAGAACAGAAATCCAAGATAAAAACAGGAAAAAAAACCTTTCCTGCTCTTTTTTTAAGGTCATCTTATTTTAAAAAAAATTTCTCCCCCTAGTGGTAGAGTACGTATTAACCAGCTTTGCATTAGTTCCTATGGGAACTAATGCTTCAATGTACGAACGCACCTCTACATAACAAAAAAACAGCCAGAACGGATTAATTGGTTTTCAGTCCATTCCTATGGGAAATTTTGCTTCAACTTAAGAACGTTTCAACTTAAGAACACCATTCCAAAACCAATTAAGTTCTTAAGTAGAGGTTCCACTGTAGTTTCTATGGACGGAAAAGAGCAGATACGGATTAAATGGTTTTCAGTGCATTCCTATGGGAAATGCAGATTCAACATAAGAACTTTTCAACTTGAGAACCACCTTCCAATACGGATTAAGTTCTTAAGTAGAGACCCCACTGTAAGACCTAACCTGAAAATAAGCCCTAGTGTGATTTTTCAGGATGCTCGTAATATAAGCCTTACCCCCTAAATAAGCCCTAGTTAAGTTAAACCCTACCCTCCACCAATGTGCAGCAACCAGAAGATGACATGATTGTATTTGAATAAATGTAGATTTTTGTACATGAAAAAAAATCCCCTGAAAATAAGCTCTAATGCATTTTTGCAGCAAAAATTAATATAAGACCCTGTCTTATTTTCGGGGCTTGAGTAATTCAGAGAAGCTATGGGCTATGCCGTGCAGGGACATCCAAGACGGACAGTTCATATTGGAGAGTTCTGACTAAACACCATCCGCCTGGAGCAGTAGCTGGCAGGCCACCCCAGTATCTTTGCCAAGAAAACTCCATGGACAGAAACAAAAGGCCAAAATTTGACCCAACTCCGGGAGGCAGTGGAACACAGGAGGGCCTGGTGTGCTCTGGTCCATGGAGTTTTCTTGGCCATGAAGTCAAGAAGAGTCATGACGAGTCGGACACGGCTTAACAACTAAACAGCAACAACAACTATAAGGGAAGAAAAAAAAGGGAAATATAACATAAATGCTCAGATGTAATTACTAGATGATAGGTTGATTTCTACTCTTTTTGCCTTATGGGCAATACAGATGGTCTTCCCTTCTATTTTCTGGGGTGGGAGACAAAGGTAAGGGACTTAAAATGCCCAGTGCACTGAGGAATGAATGAATAGAGCAGTTTAAAAGACACAAGGCCTAGCTCCTTTCAGTTCACCCTATGGCAACTTGCTTTCCCTGTCACAGCATGTTTTGCAATTAGCTGGCTGGCCATTAAAAAATTTCCCTTCAAAATGGCTAGAGATCCTAAAATTGTTTCACATGTTTCATACAATGGCAAAGATAGCTGATACAGCCAACACCTCTGGCAAAAAGAAAGGGAGAGTACTTACCTATACCATGCAAACACAGAAAGGAGGAGGAATACCTCAAGAGTTGCAACAGTGTTGGTATCTGCACACAAAGCAAAAAAAAAAAAGCGTGCTGCTCATACACTGCAGTAGAATGATTTAAAGTAGGGCCCATCTTGGAGGATTTTTTTTCCATCCTTGAGCTACTGTAAGGAAAGAGGGGGGAAGGGAAATATAACATAAAGGTTCAAAAATAATTACTAAATGGTAAGTTGAAATTGTACTGTGATTTCAGCTGCTGTGATGGCAATGCCACATTTTCTCTGAATTGTCACAGCATAGTATGAATAACAGTGAATTCTACTATTGAAGAGCATTTTGTCATTTTATTCAGTTGCTGCATAATAACGAATGTTATGTTTCAAAGTAAGTTTGCCATGTAGCACTGAGATTTGTGTTGAAGGTACTAGTCCTGTGGATCTTGCCCTCTAGACATTCCAGTTCTTAGTTCCATCTGTGGGGAGGGGGAGGTTAAATTAAAAGATACGTGAATGAAATGATTGCTTGTGAAAAAATCAGCTTATCTTCCTTGTATACCATGTATATATTCTTACTGTACAATTCACTAATGTCAAGCGATTAGTGATCTTAGTTTATAATGGAAATAATCTCTTTTTAAAATTTCTGTCTGTGAGCCATTCAGAGTGCATAAGCTTATATGGCATAAGTCACATGAATTTAGTTAATTTATAACTGAAGAAGAAAACTTCAAAGTTTTCTGAAAACTCTTCATCACATCTCACCTTCATAAAGAAGTCAGTACCTGTTTGACCTTCCTCCGTTTTCAGTATTGCTTTGTGTTTTGCTTTGTGCTTAAAAATAAAATTTGTTTATTTAATCCTTCCAATTCTTTATGGTGTTTGAACAGAAGAGCTTATTTAAAGTGAAGGTTTTTGTAGTCACTGATAAGTTCCATAGGTACTGTAGATACAAACCATATGCATCTTGGCATGTATAGCCCCTGCTTAAGTCAAGAAAGCTTTAATCCCAATCTGTAGGTGTAGGATTGTAACCTTATTGAGTAATAATTGTTATGTGTTAGGCTACCACTGTGAAACATCTGTTGTTGTGCTGTAGTGAATAACTGAAGCTAATCTACTTGAAACATTATTTCAAAATATTCCTCTAAGTCATGAATACATTGTCTGATAAATGTTATCAGAATGGCAGATAGGAAGATAAGGCTTGTTCAGCTGGAATTCTAGACAGCAACTCTGTCTAACTGTATTGAGTTTAAGAGAAAAGATTAATTTTAGATTTCACATGCAGTATCAGGCTTTATGTTGCTTACAAGAACAGTGCTCTGTTTAATTAAATCCATAGGTACTATCTGTAATTCATGGAAATTAAAAATGATCTAGTGGAAGTGAAGAATAAAGTTCTAAAAGAAGTGAGTTTTATGAAGAAATTATGAAAAAACTGAAGATGATGGTTAGGCTTGAAGAATTCAAGTAGAATCCTTCAGGTGACTGCTTTCAAGATCAAGTGCAGGGAAGGAAGAAATTCTAGATCTAATCACTTGCTAAAATGCCTTTGGCCTTCAAGTACATCTGTAAATGAGTTGTATATTTTTTACTTTATTTTTTATTA